CATATTTGAATTAAAATTTCAGATAAGCAGCAGTTATTTGAAATTTCTTTATTCTATGTTTATTTGAATGTAATTCTATTTGAACTCAGCTGTTTAACTGTCTAGAAAAACCATTCTAATTTCAAAGATCCCTGCCTGAAGACATGTGGAAAATATTTGCACTTTTGTGTGATATTGTAAAAAATGTATTTAAAACATATTAGTTTAACATCAGAAGACAGTAATGCTTTCTTAAAGAATTACTGTCTTCTCAATACTTCATGATATTTTGATTTGTACAAATATGATTTTTTAAATAAATCATAAATTTTGACACACCCACCTTTGCACCTTTTTCATTCCAAAAGTACTGAAGATATATTAATTTTGTTAATGTAGTTAAATATAAAGTCACATATAGGGAATTAGATGGGATCTTTTATGACCTTGAAAATGATTTTCAAGGTCAGTCCAATTACATTAACAAAACTAATATACAGTAGAGTGTCGATTATCCGAAAGTCAATCATCTGAAACGTCAATTATCCGAAAGAATTCCAGTTGGCAAATTTAAATTTTTGCCAGTGCTGTGGCGCTTCAATCTTTGGCTACATCTTGGGCTACTCAAATATTTTATGTTTTTGATACTAAATTAACATCTGAAGTATAATTTTTTATTGTTTTTATATTTTTCAATATATTTTTTTGTTTGTACAAAATAAAAAAATAACTTTTAACGATACAATAGTCTTTGTTAGGCTTAACATAGACGAAAATTCAACGTGAAGCAACACGCAACAGAGAAAAATTTCAACATCGGATACGTTAAACTATTTTTTTGCACATAATCAGTTATCTGAAATATCAGTTATCCGAACAACCCCAGTCCCCAATTGATTCAGATAATCGACGCTCTACTGTATCTTCAGTATATTTTTGGAATGAAAAGGGTGCAAGAGACTTTGACTCATCCTGTATAGTTGAATCTCTCCAAATTGACATTCAATAATCCAACATCCTCTTTATTCTGATATAACTTCTTGGAACAGTTTTTTTTAACATCCATAGACTTAATGTATTTGTTTAACTTAATATTTCAATACACACTACTCCAAATTCCAATACTATTTTATAAAAAGTAATCTAATACATGTAATAATATCTTTTTTCTAATCCAACAATTTCCTAGGGAATGCAGAAAACATTCCCTAGGAAATTGTTTTCCCATTTATAGTGTAAATGGGTGCACAGAAAGGTGAACCCATTTACATTATAAATATATCATATTATTGAACTTGTTTACTCTGTTATCAAAAGCCTCAGGATTGTTCCCATCATTCATTAAGTTTATTGATTTGTTTATTGTTGGGCTGGCTGGCTGTCTATGAAAGGGAAACAAAAAACAGAGACAATGTTCTGATCATCATTTTCCTTTTTATGTAATTGTCACATTCACTATCACACAGTTTGGTAAAAATGACAACAAATTGAAAGTGAAATAAGTTAACATTTGAAGAAAAATTGAAATTAATCAAAGAAGAGAAGAAAATCCATCAAAAACTTAAAGATAAACTGGTAAAACAGTTCAACATATTGATAGGTAACTTAACCATCTCATATATTTTAAAACAAAGCAGTGAAGTTCAAATAATAATGAAGATTTTTGCAATGAACAAAAACCAAAGTGCAGTTTTTCTGTAATCAATGGATTGATTTTTGTGGTTTCAAAAAGTAGTCAATAAACATTTACCTGTAAGCATGCTAATTTTGTAAGAAAAAGTCTAACACTTTTCACAATTATTAAATCTTGTAGTAATCTTGATTTTTTTTATTTCTTTTGGAATGTCTACTATATTAAATAAATACATATTATGTTATATGTACATAATAATTATAAATTAAAATTTTTTGTAGATATAAAAAGATCAAAGAGATGGCTGCAGTGCTTTAAGCAGACATAATATTAAAAATTTTACAATTTGTGAAGAGACAAAAAGACATGGATGACATCATCATCAACTACAAGCACAATCTAACAGTTATCATTAAAAATATGAAAGCAATATATACAATGCAGACAAAACTTAGTTTTCTACACTTGCCAAATAAAACACTAGCAATGTTATCAAGAAATGAAAATAGAATATCACTATTAAAAACCAAATAACTGTTCTTTTAACAGTAAATGCTGCTGGAGAAGAACTCATGCCAATGTACACACATCACTGAAGCCTCAACATTAATTTAAAAGTATTGACACAAAAACAACTGAGTTATATGGCATGCAAATTGAAAATCATGGATGACATCAAATATCCCTAAAAGTTTGAACAACAAAAAGAAAACTGAAAAATCATCTGTGGATAATTGTACATAGGTTGCTCTGAAAGTTTTGTCCTGCACATCTTTTATTCAGTCATAGCAAAGTGAGTCTTTCACCATTCAAAAGAGCATGGAAAATAAGGTGGATAAGATCCAAACTAAGTTTCTGCTTCCAGTACTTTCCAAGCAAATAGTGATGAAATATTAGAAAATTATGATTGTGTGATATTTGGTTTTCATCCCTATCATCCATTACGATTTTCTGTGCAACCTCAGTAAAGGCTTTGCAGAAATGTCTGATTTTGGAGAACATTGTCCTTCCTTGAAGACTATTACATGATGGTATAAAAGTTTATTGTGTTACTATAACCTGACAACACATGCTCAAGTTGGCCAGCAGAAACAATGACATCATAAAACAGCTACTGTAGAGAAACTTCTCGACAAAGATCTGATGGTAGGCAGATCACCTACCAGCAGATTCAGAAACTGTTGCATGTTATTACATCATACATTCATGATATTTCGTGCAAGCATCTAGGATTAAGGAAGGTTTGTTCACTTTGAATACCCCACTCACTGATGGAGGAGCAGAGGTACAACAGATTACAATGGTGCCAAAAAAAAAATGCTTAAACATTTTGTGTCCAGGACATCCAAGGATGTTAGCAGCATTGTAATAGGTGATGAGATTTTACTATATTATTACAATATGCCCACAAATCTCTGAGCAAAGTTGGGTTCTTTGAAGATAAAGCAACTTCAATAGAACTCTGAAAATCACATTTGACAAAAAAATGAGCAGTGTTATGTAATAAATGATCTTTGTGTTTATGCTTCTCATTTCTGCTAAAAAAAGACAGGACAAAATTTGCTTTAACCAATGTTTAACAAATGCACCATACTAGTTCTCGTTCTCATCTTTTCTAATGAGAGTTATGAGACCCATTTATTAATCATTTAAGTGGTTACAGTTGTAGAAGATGTATAAAAAACTAGATAAAATTAAAGTATTGAACATTCAAAAACAGTAATAAATTTACAAAACATAAATGTGAAAAAATAAAAACAAACATAATATCTGTGGGGCGGCAACATCCATCACCACACTATCCAAGCAGCATTCTTTGGAAGACAGGGTATTGTGGAGAAAGTTGTACTAGAAAAACCATATAATCACTAGTTCCTGGTACACCCAAACATGTCTGCCAAAAATCCTTCAACAATTCCAGGACATTGACTAAGATCTCATCTTGACATGTGGCTCCTTCACTACAATAAAGTTCCAGCACATAAGTCAAAGGACATGGTCCCTTTTTGTTCAAGTCAGGACTAACTGTTTTGGATCACCCTCTATAAAGTCCACATCTTGCCCCCTGTGACTTTGACTCATTTCCAGAAATCAAAAAACATATCAAAGGCATTTTTCCAGTGATGGTGAGCTTTTGACTGTATAAGATCAAGAATTCTGATCTCCCAGAAGAAAGTCAGAGGCCTAGTTTGATGACTTGTTTCAGTTGTAGGATTGGATGCATTGAAGGTGGTGGAGAATATTTTGAAAGACTAAAAAGTAAGCCTAAAGGACAAAACTTTTCAAGCAATTTATGAATGGTCTAGGAATGTTATTGAATTATCATGTAAGACTTGGAATTTTTACTTGCAAAAACATTGAAACTTCAACCATTAAATTGTCAAACCAAATTCAATAAATCATCTGTAAGCTTTTTAAAACCCAATTTAAAAAAGTGGCTGTTAAGTAAGTACTTTTATAGAATACAGTTTGAGATTTATTATCCTCTAAAAAAAGGCTGTCATTAAATTGGGACTCCATTATGGCTTGAACATTAGTTACTAAAGCCTAAATGCTGATTTGCAGTTATTCATCAATTGAGTGACTATCATCAACCATTTTATAATGAATCTGTATTAAATGGGATATCTGTATTGTAATCATTAAAAATGTACAATTTAAATAAAATTATGTTTTAATATATGTGCTGTGTTTGAATCACATTATAAGCAAATTATAATAAATAAAAAGTGACACTATATTAAAATTGATTTCAGTTTTGGAATTTGTGTAGTGGATTTGGTCATCACTGGATGTTGTTTCTCTAAAAACAATTATCAACTGTTTTTACAAAGCAGAAATGTTATTTGAAAAACAATTGAAACAGAAAATTGTTTATCAGATTGAAATGATAATTTATTACAACAATATTGTCCTGAAGTAATGAATGGAGATAATTTGTTAGAAGTAGAAGAAGAGGAAAAGAAACAATTACCCATTGTGAAGAATTAAAATTAATAAATAAACTTAGTGATTTTTTTTCTTAAGAAAACAATCTTTGTTAAATTAAATGTTATCTTTAAACATAGATATTGAAAAACAAATTGTTGACATAAGACTTTTTTGTGACATTTTTAAGATTTATGATTTAAACACACTTAATATTTCAGTAACTCAACAATCTCAATAATCTGGCACAATTCTTTTGGTCTCATGAGTGTCAGATTGATTATTGGTTATTATTAATTATATATATATATATGGTTATAATGGGTGTATATATGGGTATATATATATGGTATTATGGGTATATATATATATATGGTTATTATTAATTGGTTATTGTTATTTTTTAAATAAGATTTTTTTTTGGTTGAACAACTAATTAAATTTTCAAAATTACTTTTAGTTTATTGGACTCTCAAATGAAAGTAGCAATGACTTCAGAAATGATTCATATTGCAAGCCTCTTACACGATGATGTAATTGATGTTTCTGGAATACGAAGAGGTAAACCTAGTGCAAATACAGTTTGGGGACAAAGAAAAGTACGTTTTTATATCATTTTAACCATTATTTTTATAAAATTAAAAATAAGTAATCCATAAAATTATTTATAATTAAATTATTAATAATTGATTGTTTAATTAATATGTTTTTTTTTTTCTAGGCAATTTTTGCAGCAGATTTTATATTATCTCAAGCAGCCAAAATACTTGCAAAAATAGGAAATACAGATGTCATAATTCTTTTATCACAAGTTAGTAGAATTTAAAAATTGCATTTGTATGTACACATTACATATATATATATATATATGTATATACAGTAGATCCCCCTATAAGACGGTAGATACGTTCCGTTCTTTATGAATCAATTTTGTAGGAATCATAGTTTACGGACTACGGCTGTTTGAAAGGTTTTCTTTCATAAAATTAATCGATTCTAGACTAATTCGACTCAACATTTCCAAAATACGTATATTTTTTTG